ACGCGCAGCTCGTATAAGCAATATGCAAGCTCACCTCTCACCTCTCACGACTTCAAAGCATTTGGTCCCCACCAGGCTCTGCCGCCATCGTGCCGCTGCTCGAGCATCAAGCCCATGGGCACCTCAAGAACCACTCACTCTGTATTCCAGCTGACCACAAATGGCATCTCTCTGCCTCTCGATCCATTTGCCCGTCACTCCATTCAAGCTCTCCAAAAACGCTCCAAACACCTTTGCAGCGAATTCCGGTGTAGGTTTGCTCAATTCCTCCGACGTCGCCGGCGTTCCCATTTCGGATAGAACGGACAAGAGTTCGGAAATGCTTAGTTGAGGGAAAGATTGCAGCGTCTCCATGCCTGCCCCACCATTGGCGCTTGCTCCCATGGCGTTCGAGGAGGCGCCCAAAGGCGTGCTCGCCCCGAAACCTTGCGATCCTCCTACGCCTAGACTGGATCCGCCTGACATGGTGAATGAAGCGTGAACAAAGTCGATGAGTCGGTCGAGGCTGGGAAAAAGTGGTGATGATGATCGTGAGCTTGCAGGACTCCTCGTCCTCACTGTAAGGATGCCCCAAAGTAGCCGCGTAAGGCTTTCGATTCTGCCAACAAGCGTGTTGAGTGTTGATCCACCCTCCCTCCCAGGCGCGGACTCGACGCCGCGGCCAAGCGGCAGGACCGCGCGTCACGCGTCGCGCCGCGCTCCGTTCTTTCATATTTACACGTGACAGAATCCAGACCGCGCGCGCCCTGGTCGTCAAGCATGCAGCAGCTTACGCGTGCGCAGCGTGTGAGGGGGCCGACCCCGCGCACGGTGCCAGTGCCGATGTGTGAGTGCCCGCCTCCGCAGCGCAAGCGTTTTTGCCACGTGGATGCATCAGGTCGAAGAAATCCAAGCTCGACTTGTCTGCGCGCCCACACACCGACCAAACCCATCGTCAACTGAGGCCAAGTACCACGACGACTTTTCATCCTCACCAACCCTATCCAACAACCCGGCGAAAGCTATTCAAGATGGTTAGTATCTTTCTCAACACAATGGTCCTGCGTGCTCGACGCGGACACGCTCAGATTTCTTGGCACAGGAGGCACGAGCGGCACGGGCTCAGGCGAAGCAGCCGTGGCAGAGCTCGATAAGAGCAAGTCTGCCAGCGTCGTGGCAGAACAATTTGAGGTTCGGAGGATGGAAACGGTGGCAGTAGCGATATGTGGGAATCGCCCGTTCAGGTCGCGGCAATGACGCTCAGCCGTCGCCAGACCAGCGTTGCATCGCAGGACTTGGCTTGACATTCGAGAGGGTGCAAAGCGGAGTTGCCTACGGCATGTAGTGTACCTGGTGGCCGTGCGAAGAATCAGGGGTGGGAGGTGGAGCGCATAGTGAACGGCGGGAAACACCGGATTGCGGTTGCGATGCTTGGAACATACTTGGTGCGAAGTCGGGCATCCGACGCTGCAGTAAACTGGACTGACGTGTAATTTGCTTTACCATTCACAGGCGAAAGGAGTCAAAGCCCACGAGCTGGCCACCAAGAACAAGGCTGAGCTGACGTCTCAGCTGGAGGAGCTGCGAGGCGAGCTTCTCAGCCTTCGCGTTCAAAAAGTTGCTGGAGCCTCTTCCAACAAGCTTGCCAAGATCAAGGGCGTCAGGAAGGGTATTGCTAGAGTTCTTACCGTCATCAACGCCAAGACTAGAGCTAGCTTGAGGGAACACTACAAGGGAAAGAAGTACTTGCCTCTTGACCTTCGCCCCAAGAAGACCCGTGCCATCCGTCGCCGTCTGACCAAGGTGAGTGATCGAAGAGCAAGGGATGGACGATGATGAGGCGCGTGTAGCACACTAGCGACGGCACGGGGGTCCGAATGCGATGGCAGGTGGGAAGCGAGTCTGCTCTGCGACGGCTGCATTCAGTCGGCGTGCGGACAACGATTTTATCATGGCTGCATCCGCATGACTGGCGGTCCGCCGAACGAGCTGCTGACGCCTGTCATCACACTTCGCGCAGCACGAGCGCACTCAAGTTACCGAGCGTCAGCACAAGAAGGACATTCACTTCAACCGTCGTCGATACGTCCTGAAGGCTTAAATGGGCAACAACTAACACGCCAGATCGTGCAGTCAACATGACTTGCCAATTAGTCAAACAAGTCGAGCGAGCAAAGGTGCTCGCTGGTCATAGGTCTGTCACCGGTCATTCTTGACACGAGCGACGCCAAAAATGTACACAACACAACCACCCCCACATGCATTCACGTTTCACTCTACCAATCTTTCACGCGAATCATATGCGACTTGCACTTGATCCCTCGCACGCTCTTGTGCGCAGAGGGCTTGCGCAAAGCGCCCCTTTTGGTCATGGTGCGGTGCGAAGCGCTCAGCCCTATCAACTTTTCTGTCCCAAAGGAAGGGACCAAGCGCGCGAAGCCTGAGGTGAGAAGCCTCCCCCCTCCCCCCTTCTCGTCCTGAGCGCGAGCCTAACTTTGATCGTAGCATAGCGGCCAGAAAATTCCGAGGGGGGGAATGCGAAGCAAGCTATTGTCGAATTTGGGTCGAATTAAGGTGATGAGAAACTCTAGACAGGAGCGCGATTGCACCTCGGATCGCAGACCTCAATCGACTCGACCCGACCTTGCACCTTTCGACTTCTGCATTGCTTCGCATGATGTTCCAGAATTCCGACTCTTGACTCGTACGGCATGGCATGTGCGCTTCATCGACTTCTTCTCAATTATTCAGGCTCGAGATTTTTGAGAGAGAGAGAAAAACAAAGACGAGCGAAGGACGTTCGCGAGAAAATCGAGCTTGTCGCATATCATTGTGAGAGTAGAGGGTGCGTTGGTACATGCTTTTGAGAACGAGTGTCTGTGCAGGACAGCCAAACACCGTGTGCGTGACATGAGTCTGTATAGATCTATCCGAGTGGACGATAGACCATAGGTGAGAGCTTGCTTGAAGTGACACAAGCTTTTCTCCAAGGTACGGTGAGCTTGATGATGATCGCTTGCGCGACGACCAGTATGAAGAGAAGACTTCCAGGACATTTAGACCTTGACTGTGGACCAAGACGAATCGTGTCAGCGGGATGTATGGAACGTGTGGCGCAACATTCCTCCGCCTCGAAGCATCGTATCGACACTCACAACCACGGCTCTTTCTTCGTCCACGGGCCTGCTCGAACTTGCGGCCAGTGGAGCGGACGTAAGGCTTCTTGTGCTTGTGGGGGCCCATGCCGAAGTGCTTGACGGCCTCACGGGCGTTCTTGGGGCCACGCAGCAAAATGGTGTTGGATCCCTTAGGAGAGCGAAGGGCCAATTGGTCCAGCGTGAGTGCCTCACCACCCGCAGCCTCGATGCGTGCCTTGGCGGTGCGCGTGAAGCGCAGAGCAGCAATGGACAGCTTGGGCAGGTCCAGAAGACGGTTGTCGTCGGTGATGGTTCCCACCACTACTACAGTCTTGGGTGCCTCGCCGGACTTGGGAACACCTCCCTGGTTGCGAGAAAGGTACACCACCCTAGAGACGGAAACTGGGGGACGGTTGATCTTGGACATAAAAAGCCTGCGCAGAACAACCTTGTTGAAGCGAGAGTCGGTGCGGCGAGCAAGGAAGCGGTAGAGCTGAGATGAAACCGAAGCAAGGGCGTGTGAGCACGCGGGATGGCTATGCAATGCATGCAATGTGGCCAGCGTTGCCTTCAATGTCCAGCTCGTGCGCAGGGATTCGCTTGTCCCCGAACCTTTCATGCTCAACAGCCAAGTGCACCCCGATATTTGCTATGCTGCCAGCCCTCTGACATCTTCAAGCCCTCTGCTCATCTTCACCACACATCTTCTCTCCTCTTCTACCGATCCCATCGACCTCCAAATATCGAGCACTCACCTTCACCAAAAGGAGGAGGTAGGGGTCCTCGCTCTTGGGCGCAGTGCGGCGCCCAGTCTTGACGTGGTGCTTGGCGATGTCGATACCCTGCGCAGGAAGGGAGCAATGGGGCGTCAGAAGTATGTTCTGAATACCGATCGCTGCCTGTGCTCGAACACGTGCTCTCCAGTAACAACAGCTCCCGGCGCTAATCCGATGTGTCTCACAGACCCTGAAGACTGCGAGCCGCATCGCCTATCCTTCCAGCACAGCTCAAGCCTATCATCTTGCGTCAGAAGGAATACCCAGCTGACGGAGAGCGGCCCCAGTAGCTCTAGCAAGGCATGCCCATCCTCGAAGCCTAGGCGCTCATAGCTCATCTCCACGAAGCCTCCCCCGAAGCGTCGTCTCGTGGCTTCGCTTGTCCCCTTGATATCCTCCGTCAATCCGACCTTCCAGGCTTAGCGACGACGCCATTCTAATGCCAGTCAATGTCGTTGAAGCATTGAGAAGGAAGGGAGCAGAAGAGGGTACTAACCATTTTGGCGAAGTTGCTGTGTGTCGGATGGGTGAGCGAGAAGAGGAGGGGAAATGCCGGGCAGCAGCTATGGTCACCTTCTCGAGAGCCGTAGCATCTCTCTTGATTTCGTTCCAGAGCTGCTGCATGAACCTGACCAAGGGTTGCGCTGCGGTGATGCCACGTGTCTGTCACAAGTGGCGTCCGCCGCGCTGCACATCTCGCACTCACGGAGACGCGCGCGGTCACGCGTTTATTCTCGAACAGAGGCTGCTCGACGCGTGAGGCGGGAGTGCCTGCCGGAAGCGGTCCACCGCGCTCCCCATGGAGCGTGGTTGCGAATCTTCGCGATCCAGTCACGCATTTCGCACAAGAGTCACCAAATACAGCCACGGACCACTCAATCACGAATGACACACAGCCTCGAATCTTCGACTGGTTGGAACATAGTCAAGACTTTGACTCTTAAGGCAAGAAGGCCACATGACCAGCTTTAGCTAGAGCGATGTCAGAATCTTGCCCACTCACCCCCATGGCGGGCATGCTTCCGAGTGGCTGTGGCTGAAGCTGAATGGAGGCCGCTCGGTCTCGAGGTGGCGCGTATCTGCTTTGCAAGCCCACCTGCTTTGCAAGAAAGACTCAAAGTGGCAACCGCGAATGCCAGGCTCAACGCCCGAGCTCGAATCTTAGCCAAAAGAGCAGACATGCTTGGTGAAGGCGCTTGCTGTCGCGAATGTCGGCACTGACACGAGCGCTAGGTCGTCCATCGCTATCCACCTCTCCAGAGACGTGATGCGGGGCGGTGGCAAGTCGGCGGCGACCAAAGTCCGACAAAGTCCAGAGCTGAAGCGGTGTTCGTGCTCGCAGCTTCCCTATACAAATCGACAAGGCAGCTGAGGTGATTGCTCACATCACCATCCATCGATCTATATGCAGCTTGCCCTCTAGTATTTGTGCTGTACAGGTCTTCATGTTCCCGTTTACAAGCCAAAGCCAACCACAGGACGCTTGACCTACCGCTTTTTCATTTTCTTCTTTCCTGCATCCCATCACGCGATGCATCTTGCCCTTCTTTGCACCTTGCCACTTGTGACGACGACCCTCGCAGCGAATCGCCAAGATGGACTTTGGCTTCGCAGAGGGCTTTTTCCAGTCCCGGAGCACAGTGTAGGTCATTTGGCGGATCAAGCGCTCAGTCGGGAATCACTCGCTCAGCACGATTGGTCAGGTCTTTCTCCAAGTCACGGTCAACTTCCGCTTCACGATCTCAGCGGAGCAGCCCATTCACTGCACGATTCGACACATCGAGCCGCTCCCCTCCCGCATTCACCGCTCCACCCACCGGGCGATGCTTCGAGCCCGCGTGTCGGGTCGCGCTTTGATGAGGATGACTTCGTCAACTCCTTACTGCGATCACCTTCCCGGCCCAATACACCTGCGCACTCGAGCCATGATCACGGTGGAAACTATGTGCCGGCTTCTCCATCGGCGCCCAGCCCAGCAGGATCAGCAGGTCCGCATCACTCAGCCAACCAGCATCATCTCGATGACGACTTTGTCAACTCGCTTTGGGCAGAACCCTCAGATCACCAACACAGTCTGGGATCTGTTTCGCCAGCGAGCTCTAACAATCTACACTCACCAAGTCCCTCCACTTCTAATGCCGGTTTGTCCACCGCGACCGTGCACAGTGGCGGCTCTGCTGAGCACAGTAGCGAGAACACATCTTCAGCTCAGCCAATTGAGAACGAAAGCCCGACTTTCGAAGAAGGCAAACATGCCAACATGCAAAATTGGTCAGAAGTGCCAGTGCCACGACGGCTCTTGTCTGCTGAAGCAGGTAGCCTCCGCACGCGTGAACGACGGTTGCGTGAAGCGGAAGTGGCTGGAGCACCTCCACAGGAGATTGCGAGGCTCAAGTCACTCGTTTCAGAGGCCTGGTACGCATTACCGAAGAAGCGGCGCCAAAAGGCGCCCTTCGAGCCCGAAGCCTATGCTTCGAAGCGATTAGACCACTTGATCCACCAACGAGAAAAGGTAGCTCCAGAGCACGCCGAACAGCTGGAAGCTGCTATTGCAGAAAAGTCCGCTGCTGCGAAGCTTCCCGAAATTCCCAAAGATATCGAACATTTTAGAGTCATGAAGGGGTACAAGGCCCGGCCTGTGAGACCGCCACGCGTTCCTGAATCCCTCCAGCAACCAAAGGCGAGCGAACCCGAACTGGGTGATCCAAAAGCTCCTTCAGCAAGTCCACACACAATCACATCCAGGGGAGCGCCCCCCGCCAAGGTTCGTCCTTACGAAACCTCGAACGGTATAGATGGAAAAAGTATGCTTTCCCTGCTGAGGGAGAAGACGAAACGGAAGAGCGAGCGTGCAGATACGTCTGAGGTCGAGGCAAAGATCGCAGCTCTTGCGAGGCAAAGGGATCTTCCCGTGCCGACTTCGAAGTCCATGTATTACTACCGGCTAGAAAGGCACGTTGATGGAAACGAAGCTTTGCACAAAGACATAGAAGCAGGTGCCTTATCACCGCGCACAGCAGGACTCACAAGGTCTTCCTTCGATGTCTTGTTTCGTCAAAAACAGAGAACGTCGAATCCCGAAGATCTGGCACGCATTTCAAATGCTCTCGACGCCAAGGCCAGGTCACAAGGTCTCCCAAGGACACCTCCCTCAGAGTCCGCTTGGCGCATGCAGTTGACAAGAATGGCTCGCGCCAAAAGTCGAGGCAAAGAAGTTAGACCGTACCGACACTCGGGCATCAATCCCTTGTTCAAGCAGCGGAAAATTGCCTTCGATGCAGGTCAGGATACTTCACATATCGATTCGCGCATCTCAACGTTAGCTCACGAAATGGGCCTCACTAGAAGCGAGCCTGGATCGGCTCCCCGCGTGACGATTCAGAAGCACAGACAGCTTCAAGCATTGTCGAATGCAAACTCTGCTACCAACACCAAAACGTGACAGTGTCCTCAGCAACGCTGCTGCTTCCACGAACGTTCTCGTTGTACAAGCCGCTTTCAAGAGGACCCTTGCGAATTGGATGCGGTCCCATGTACAGATTCGACTCCACTCAAGCTCACAAGAAATCCATCGAGGAGTGATCATCTTGGAACGGCTCGTTGCCGGGTCTTTCGTCTCACAGCGAGGATCACGCAGGTCTGCGACATGCAGTAGGAAATCTCGGCAGGCCTTCAACAACGAGGGCACACGACGCCACCAAGAGATCTCCGCTGACATGACCATGGCAAAGCTGATCACGCGGATGAAGTTGGCCTCTGAAGCAACGTGCACGTTTGCCACCCATCTCTCTACCCACAAGTGTGGGGACGGCGGGGCGTCGCATGCTCATTCGCGGGCCTGGTTGAATCCCGCAGCGCAACGGGAACTGACGCTCGCGCATTGCCTGATGAAAGGCGCCCGCGGCTACGCCATTTGCCACTTTGCACCTTCTTTGGCGTAGCTTTTGACCAAGTCCCGCAGCTCTGACCTAGCTTGCAAAGAGAGACATTTTGACCCGACCTGCAAACGCGTCGGCGACGGCGACGGCGACGGCTCATGCGCACCGTTGATCAAATTCGAGGATGCCCCGCCGCAATCGAGAGGATGGGAGGTAAGTGAAGTAACGATGTGCAGCCTTCTTGGTACGTGTAGCCGAAAGATTTCCATCACGCGGAAGGAATTTCGGCACGCGTCAGCCAGATCTTGATACTGACGCCGATGCTGGAACTCGTCAGAGAGTGTCTGGACGCAAGTCTATTGAATGGCACATTTTGCTGCATGCCACACTCGTCAGTCATCTCTGTCGGCCTGCGCAGACCTGCTCAGGCGCACCAGCCGTGTGGAGCAAGGGACCGCTGTCTGACGGTGACGTAGACCCCGCATGCTCCTGTATCAACTTTGAGTATCCGTCCCTTTGGGTTCGACATTCTGGACGTTTAACTCTTTACCTGCAAGCAAGGATCGCAGTCGGTAGACGAACATCATTCACCATGTGCGTCCCCGCCTGCATCCCCGTCGGTCCTTTCCACGCGTCGGCCCGATCGCCTTCATTGCCTGGCGTCAGTGTTTGGCGTAGCTGCGGCAGGCGTGCGGGTCTCGAAAAAGAGCCGCTAGCTGTCATCCGGGAGGTCCAACTGGCTGCTTACGTCATCCCATTATCTTCCATGGTTGCTTGTCCAATCGACCTTGAGTGTCTGCCGACTGTCCGAGATGCGGACCGGCATCGGATTCGCCAACGGAAGGCTGAAGAAGGCGTTGCTCCACGCCCTCTGCTCCGATGTCCAGATCAATGACTCACCAGGCTGACATCCACTCCAGAGTGCTTGCACGAAGATAGGGACTCACCATGCACATCCCCAGCATTTGGAATGGGGCGCTCCGAGTCAAGCTGAATAGTCGCCGATCAACGTGCCCGCATAGAAGAGGAGATATGCGGGAGCGTCAATGTACGTCTAATGCGGGGACGGTGGCGTAAGGTATCACTGCAGTCAGACTTCGATGGATAATGATTCAAAGTGCTTCTATACATAAGGAGCGATCTTGAAGTGTGGCGCAGATTGTGTCATTGTTCGCAATGCGTCCAACTTGCCCTCGATCAATCTTTGGCGTCACGCAGTCACGAGTGCCAATAGTTCCCGACCAACAGAGCTGCCGGTCAGCCGTCTCCTGAGCGGATTCTGCCTTTCATTCTGCCTCGTCAAGGCTCCTCAAAACGAACCATCTAAGCATCTTTTAGACGGTCCTCCACAGATCTGCTGGCCAGTCCTCTGTTGAGCCTCGAAAAGATGTTGTTCCCTCAGCTTTTCGTCGTTTTTCTTTGCGTCACATGGGCCTTTGCAGGCAATTCACCTACTCCGTCTCTTCAGCGTCGCGGTCTCTCGGGAAGCTCAGTCTCCGCAGCGCTCGAGGAATTAGCTGGGACGAGACGAGTCGCGCAGGCTGCTGAGAGATCGAGTCCCAGCACGGCACGACTCGGCTCTTCTGGTCATCCAACGGGTCACGGCTCCGCGCCGACGAGTCCGCAATTTGGTCACGAATTCAACGAGCACGACCAGCATTTGCTTTCTTCATTCCTTCATAGTCCTCAGCGGAGTGGCAGTCATGTCGCCAGCCACACTCCGCCATCATCACCACTACAACAACTCACTGCAGAAGACCAGGAGTTTCTTCGCTCGGTCCTTCATCCCGAAAGTCCCAGTTCGAGCCAACGCGGAACTAGTGGGAAAGGCGACCGCCATGACACGAGCACCTCTGCCAATTCTGCCCACAGTGAACCTTCCGTCTCGACGAGCCTGACCCCAGAAAGCTCGACGGCACTTCTTGAACATCATTGGTCTGAGGAGGATGCAAATCTCATACATTCTCTTTTACACGATTCTCCACGAAGCCCGAGCCCGGCGCGCGCCAACGCTAAAACGCAGCCTGCAAGCGGGCGTGCTGAACCGTCGACCACGCGAAGCATTTTGAGGGAGGTCCCCAAAGGATTGCCCCGCGGCAAGCTCGACAAGTCTAACCCGTCATATTGGACGCTTCCGAAGGATCGTACAGTTAGCATAAGTACAGCTTACAACCGTCTGAAAGAAGGTCGTGCACTGCGCATGTCCGAAGACGTGTTGCGACCATGGCAAGAATTGGTCAACGAGTCGCGAGTCCCTAATCCCAAGCGCAGACGACCCGAAGATATGACGAACATTCCACCCGGCCAATATAGCCGCTATGCTTTGTCGACCTTGCTGGCAGAGAAGCCCAGGGTATCAGAGGCCAATCTGCCTGCGATCGAACGAATAATTGCGCAAAAGGCAACGAAGGAGGGCTTCGAAGAGGTTCCACAGACTTTGAAAGAATGGCAGGCGGCGAGGGAAAAGATGGGGGTTCCCAAGAGGGCTCCACAAAGGAAGTATGTGGAGGGGCCTCCTGCGCTTCACACTCTCCTTGCACGCAAAAAGCAATTGCAAGCCGCGGGACAAGACGTTTCTGACATTGATGCGCAGATTCTCGCTACGGCGAAGAAATACGATCCCGACGCAACCTTGCCTACAAGCGCGAACAAGTTTTTTGTAGGCTTGCGCAACAAACAGATCTTCGGAAGGCCCTCCAAAGCTGCCAAGCTTCCTCCGCTCGTCAAACCCCAAGTGATGAGGCAAAAACCAAGCGAGGAGGTCGAGCAGCTCGCAAGGCAGCCGATGCAAACCCTCTACAAGCAAAGAGCCGCCGCCAAGCAACAGCAGCAGGATACGAGTGTCATCGAGGCTGCCTTGGTGCGCAAAGCAAATTTGGAAGGACTGGCAGAAGCGCCCGCTGATATCGAAACTTACTACGCGTGGAAGAGGAAGGTGCGGCAGCATATCCGACCAGTCGACTACTCAAAGCGTTCAGTATTGAAACTTTACACCGATAGGGACGTGCTGAGGGCTACTGGCAGGGATACGACAGCTGTAGATGCGGCGATCAAGAAGCTGACTGAGGGAAAGAGCAGTGGTAGCGGGGCTCCCAGTGTCGGCCCAAGTTCAGCACCGTGAGGCAGGAAAGCCTGCGCTTGCATTCAGGAGCAACAGCATGTGTTGGAACGTTGGACAAATAGAAGGCTAGGGGGATAATAGGCCACTGAGATGGAGTGCGAAATTGTCGAGATTGCACATGCGACCCGCCGTCAAGTCTAAGGATCAAGCAACTGAACTTGAGTCTCAAGCACACGAAGATCAAGCATCTGCCCTTCGTAGCCTCTTCCTTCTGCGGTTGGCCGGCATCGCTCCTGAAGTGGATAGACCAGTCCTTATTTTAAATGGTACTGTCTCGAAACTTGGTCTACTCGGCTGCAGGTCCCAAAGCATCCACAAAGTCCAATTAGCGTGGGCAGCACACAAGCACGCATCAAGCACAGTCACCCGTGCGTCAAGCCAAGAGCAAGTGTATTACGCCGCCTTGTCCAACAGCTCCAATCCGCGCACAACTGGCCATGAGCGGTTGCCGAAGCCGCGTAGGTTGAAGGCAGATGTCTTTTCTTGCTCTTCTGTATTAGTCGCTGCAAGAAGCGAAGGCAAGGGATGCTGGTCATCAGTAAGTCGGGGCTCACTTTGCGCCCTGCCGGCCTCGCGCCACTCACAGGCTCGGACGACTAGCGCAAAAGTATGATCACCACTTTGCGCTGGCAAGACGAGAGCCGCGGACCACAGGGTCCAACCCCAGGTTGCGCCACCCAGTTCGCGCGGCGCTGCTGGACTTGTTTCGCTATCGCATCGCTGCCACTCGCTTGCTGGTCGAGCAGCGGCAGCATCTCTAATCTCCTCTATCGTGGAAGCTGGGTCATCTGGCACGGCCAGCATCTCCACACGATTGATCGGTCGACCTGCAGGAAGGCGGTCCCGATCAGCGAAGGTCATTGTCAGGCTCAACATCATCTTTACTCACCTCCTGTCGGGACGGCGTATCCTCGCGCAACGATACCAGAAGTCACACGATCACGATCATTTGGACTCGCAATAGCGGAGCCAACTCCCAGTCTCATGATAGGCTCAGCAGCGCTGAGGAGCTTTTCGCGCTGCTCATCCGCAGCTTGTACATCACCATGGGGCGGTAAAATGATCTTGTAATCGTCCTCCATAGGTTCCGCATCGCTAGGCAAGTTGGAGATGCGCAATTCAGAGACCCACTTTACCCACCTAGCGCCGATCTTGCCTGGCAGCACTGCCCGAGGACCGTGTGGGCGAGGCAGCGGCGCACCGTTCGCTGCGTGAGCCAATAGTGCCGGACAGTCGTGCGAGAGGATCTCGTTGAGTGGTAGTGAAGCTGCAAATGCGCCTCCTTCATCCGATTGCGCCGAGATGATGTGCAAATGCAAGTCGCGCGCCCACTCTGTCGAAGCGATGGCTTCGGCCGGAAGCAATTCGAGCAAGATGGAACGCAGAGGCGTACCTGGACGCGTGCGGCCCCCAAGTTCAGAAGTGATCAGTGTGGGATCACCACAGGTCATATCCAACCAAGCAACTTGGTGATCGCACGCACCTTGCCACTCCACGTTGCAAATGGTGCCGGGACCCCATTGCAGCCCTTCAGATTTGGCCTCATCCAAGCTCATCTCGCTACGACGGTTGCCTGCGCATTCGAGCACCGCCACGAGCGTCTTTTCCTCTTCTGCAAAGTCGTCCAGCTCAAATGTGCGATTGGCAACGGCAAAAGGCAGCAGCTTGGCAGCGCATGAAAAGCTGATGCGCTTAGGCACCGCCTCTTGTGAAAGTAGCTCGCCGTGGTTGCGGTGAAATGCGTGCTCGATGGGCGTGATGAGGTGCTGGCAGAGGACTTGCAACGTCGTTTCCGCATTCAGCGGCTGCAAGGATGGATGTCAGAGACAAGGCGCCAAGTCAGCGAGGATGTCGAACGAAGAACAAGCTCCTCTGAATGCTTCCGATGCAAGCTCACGCTGTGTTGGTGAAAGATCAATGATTCCGACATGATTTCGTGGCGAGCCAATCTCTATTTCCGAGGTAATCTGACCTTTTTTCTTTTTGGCCAATTTTTCGTCATTGGCGCAGGCAACGAGCTCGACTGTTGAGATCGCCGGCCCTTCAACCTCTCTCAAAATCCCCGCTCCACTACTCAAAGACTGTTCCGGCTTCGCAAAGGGCTACGCGTGTGCAAAAGTCATGCGGACCGTCCTGAAGTTGACAGTCTTGAGGGAATACTGATGAGTCAATGATCTCGAGGACCTACAGCAAGTTTGCCGTCAAGAGTTCCTCGGAGGACCAACCCCCTCCACATATCGGTCATGTCATACATGTACATGCTTGATGATACCGACAGAGCGCTCGTTCGTGATCAAAATTGAGCATCACGTGACACCTCAGTGCGTGGGAGTCCTGAGGTTATTTCTCTCGATCCGGCGGCGGTGGGATCAACGATTATTTGAATTCTTGGTTCGTGATTCTTGACTCAGACTCTTGACGGTAGGTACCTACTTGATTGAGATTCACGCACGACTGCCTGACCCTTCTCAAGCTCGCGTAATCGATCAGCAAGATCTTTCGCCTCGATCACAACCTATCACAACAGCATTAGAGTGCCATCCATCGCCTCTGACCTACGACTACTCACGACCGGGGCTAGCTTCCGAAAGGCCTCGCGCCGCAATCCAGCAAGATGCCCTTCAAGCCTATCAGCAGTCCTCCATTCACCATCACTCCAGCCGAGCACGAGACGCATCAACAATCCACACCTTCATCTTTCGGAGAGGTGCACGTCAGACCTCCAGTACTGAGGACGTATCTCGAAAATGTCAGGTGCAGGATCAAGCCTGCTCCTACGGACTTACACGCTACCGCCGGCGACACCTACGAGCAGGTCGGCACGCTTTGGGTCACAGACGAGTGAGTGCTTGCTGAGTGATTCGCTCGACGTCTCTGCGCTCATCATACTTTCACTCTATGGCAGATCCCTCTCCTTCCTGACCGCTTCCTCTATCGGTTGGACGCTCGACTACCCCACCTTGTCGCTGCATGCCGTCTCACGCACTCTGCCTGATGGATTTCAGAGCGACGAGAGCGAAGAGGCAGGATGTGTATACTGTCAGACGGACGACGGTCTAGACGAGCAAGACGATGCGGAAGGCGAAGAGGAAGAAGGTCTGCGCGAAATGTGGTTGTTGCCACCTGACCAGTCTCAGCGTGGGTGTACAGTCTCGTCAGGCGACACGGAGATCATCCGCTCACCCTCATCTGTCCTTCTTGATCTCACAGTCGAGCCACTCTTCGCAAGCCTGTCACGCGCTGCATCACTGCATCCATCAGTCCTCGATGGAGGCGAAAGCTCGCATCCGTTTGCTTCGCTGGGCGCTTTCGGCACAGGATTGGCAAATGGTGGAGATTCTAGCGATTTTGACGACGCAGAGGAGGAGGAGGAAGATGGCGGCGTTGAGCTCAACGATGGCGGAAGAGTGAGGACGAATGCTCGTTATCGTCCTTACTGAAATGCGATGAATCACCTAGCTGAGCAAATCGAGCATTTGTTGTGTCTCTTGCCCCTCAGAGGACACTCGAACGGTTGAATGCGCTCTTGGAAGGTGATCAGGCAGACCCTGAGACGAATCGCGCGACTCGCAATCAAGCATCCACCAGCAAAACAGTCTTGCCGACCAATTCTCTCAATTTGACTGGCCTGCCAGAAGTTTTCTTCCAAGAGCCATCGCTAGTGAGCGGACTGTTGGATCTTCTCCATGTATGCGGTTCTCTGGCTTCTTGGCACCCTCTGCCGTCATTCGAAAGAGCAATCGTGGTTTTCGAAGAGTCTGCGGGTGCTGCTCGAGCGAAAGACGTTGTTGACGGTCTGGTGCTGCAATTCGAGCAAGATGGCAAAGAGGCCGATGCGAACGTGGATGCCGAGCGCTTGTTCGCGAGGCGTACAAAAGGCGTGTGAGTACAGAGACTTATTCTCTCTTCTTTTTTGCGCTCTGCGACCCAGAGGCAGCCAATCTTATGCTTTCTTACGCCTTGCGCGGACAGGCCTGCCATCAGGGCCTACTTTGGACCTCAGACACCCCTGTCTTACGAAGAAGCTTCCAAGCATCTAGGCGTGCCCATGACGGATCGCAACTTTCTCATCTCTCCACCAGGCTCGCCACCGGTAGGATGGGAGCCGATCGTGGAGGATCCACCGAATAGGGATACATTGGCCGATGATCTGATCCGAGCTTTGGGGGCGTTGAGGGACTCGGGCGCCAATGTTGCTCAGGGCGGCACGAGCGAGATGGTCGAAGGGCAAGGTGATGCTGAAAGTGTGTTGACCACGACGGTCTTGGAACCTAGCAAAGCTCCTGCACCTCCCAGGCATCCACTGGCTCCGCACAATGCAGCTATGCAAGGCGATGAGCATGGCATCATCTCGGTTCCCGGAGTAGTGGTGGAAGAGGTGCATTCGAGACCTAGTCCAAATGGCCAAGGAACTCCCTCGACGGCTCATCCTCATAGCATCACGAGCGTCAAGGCCACAATCGAAAGTATGAAAGGTAGCCCTTCTCCGGGTCTAGGGGGCGCACTGGCTGCCGGAGGAGGAGGAGGAGGAGCGCGCATCACACCCACCGGCAGACCGCCCCTTGCGCGCGATGAGTAAGGGCACACGACACCGAGACGAGACACTAAAGCACAGCTATCATCAATGGGACACTTTCGCATTTTCCAAATTCACATTTATCGCGACGGCCGAGAAGTTGGCGAGGCTCGTCGAGCTTCGTCGGCCGCATCGACATCCGAGCCAGCTTCGAAATCTTCCGCGGGAAGAGGCTCGTAGGGTGAGGAGGAGGAGGATGGGGCATAGGGCCGAATGTGCTGGGAGCCGAACAAGTTTCCACGATCTGCGTCTGACAGATCAACTCCTGCCATCTGTGGTGGGCGAGCGAGATGTGAAATCGGAGTGATCAGCTGCATAGTGTAATGTGGGGGAGAAAGCGGGCCAGCATTGTCCCTCGAGATGCCGATCGCGATTGCGATTGCGAGTGCGATTGTAATCGTGATTGCTCACCTCGGGCAACATGAACCAGGTGAAAAGCCAAGATGCTGCAGCGACGGTCGAGTAGATCCAGAATGTGCCGGCGGCAGAGATGGCTTTTTTGAGAGGTAGGAAGAAGAGGGTGGGGGGGAAAGAAGGGAGTTCAGACCGAGTTTGGAGCTTTGAGCAGGGAATCGCCAGAACATGTCCTAACCTTCCCGCTCACCTTTGACTAGATCAAGGTACGTAGCCGCTACGATCAGATTGGCGCACCAATTGGTCGCAGTAGCCAGACCTCCGCCGATCTGCGCCGGGCGGTTGTCAAAAGATGGGAGGGGGCAACAAATTGCGGGGACAGATCGGACGTCAGCGGAAAGCCCTCTGAGCGTAAATCGCAAAGCGTCTGAATTTTTGTGCATCTTTCTCTTCTCACACTCCTGAACTTGGTAGGAAAGACCTCGGATTGTACGAGCCACTGGATGCGCAGAAAAGTTGGCCGCGAAAGAGGATCGACAAAAAGGGCGGGGAGCGAAGAGGTGAGCTTTTGTTGGGGAAACAGCTTGCATAGCCTAGAGGATATGCGCATCGCATCACACCCACGGGAATGATGCCGAGACCTGCAGCAAAGGAGGTGGGAGGGAGAGGGGGCAGGTAGAGCGGATGAGAATGGCAAGGATACGAAGGTGAGCGGATTGGGGGGGATGTGTCTGGACGGAGAGCTTGAGTGCTCTACGATGCCTCACCGAGCGCGTAGCAAAAGATGAACAGCGTCATCTAGGTGGAATGTTTGATGAGCTTAGAAAGGATGATGAGGTGCGCAAAGGGTGCGCCCTTCGCGACTCACAGCTGCCAAGCTGGTATAAGCCCAGGCACCAGGTGATTCTTGATCTCGAGCGTTCTGATTTCGTCCATGGAGCAGGGATGCAACGGAGCTCTCGCTGTAGCTGACTCCCATCATCGTGCCCTTCGACACATCCCTCCCATCCGTCACATCGCCCAATCGTATCCTTCCAATCGAGAGAGCGAGCGCAGCGAGCGCTACCGAACAAGCAGCCGTAGCGCCCAACAATAATCTTCTCCTGCCCAATCGATCCACCAATCTCAAGGCTATCAACGTGCCCACGAAATTGGCAAGCGCTACGCCCAACGCTGCTAGATTCGGATTGGCGACGAATCCGCACATTTGTAGCAAGCGAGAGGAAAAGTATAGACTTTTGCCAAGGAAGGGGTGGGGGGCGAGCGAGCGGGGCGCGAATGACGGTTCGCGAGAGGACAAAGACACGAAGGAAGCGGGG